TTCAGCAGGCGCTTTTGGGACAGCAAGCTCAGCACAGCTGGCCTTGGATGTCTCTCTTTCCCCCTCACCAGACATCTCCTCCGGGGCGAGCACATCTGATTGTTTCTGATTGATTCATTGACCCAGGAGGCTAGGTATGGCTGGGTGTGCGTTTGAGTGTGTGTGTGTGCGCGTGGCATGCATATGCCATCAGTGCCATGTGGAGGCATTCCGACTACTCACTGCTGGACTTTCTGCAGCAACCCACAAAGCATTTTTAAACAAAACCGTAATAATGACCTCAACGATATCAGAAAGGGCAGATCGTGTCCTTTCTGGTTGTATTTTCCTCCTTCCCATAGTCTGCATTGCTGGATTATGATGCCCATATGCAAAAAACACATTTTGAGGCCAAATAACATTTCCTTTTTTTCTTTCTTTTTTGTAAAAACAAACAAAAAAATTCTTCAACCTTGGCCAAGCGTGTTGCATGCTTCCAAATAAAAGCAGATACGTGCTGTGGTGCCCAGCTCAGTTTGCTGAGTGTGAGTTGAGCCCTTGAGCCGGGGTGTGCAAGCTTGTCTGCCCCTTGCAGGGGTTGTGGGGGAGTACCCTGTGTGTGGCCGAGGTCCGCCCCAGCTTGATTTTTATGTCAACAAATAGGATGTTGGTTTAGCTATTTGGGAGCAGGGAGGGAGGTTCATTTTTAATTAATTAATACCCCTGTTCGTTCTCCTCTGCCAGCTCCTTCCCTCCTCGGCTCCTGTGCCTGCAGGGCCGCTGTCAGCTTCTGAGACACTTCCGGCACATTAGTGAAAGGGAGCAGCGTGCAGCCTGGCAGTGGGTAGTGTCTCTGGGTGGAGAACAGGTGCCCTCACTCGGGTGGCCACAGCCCTTCCACGGCACTGGGCTGGTGGGCAGAGTCCCTATCCACCTGGTCACCAGGCACCAATAGCCAGTGCACACCTGGCTGCGGGGCCAACAGAGGCACTGCCTGCCCCATACCCCTTGTGAGCTCACAGCGAGGGCAGCACTGAGCCTGCTCAGGCGTACGGCCCCCTGTGCCACCAGCCACTCATTCATTTCACAGGGCATAGTGAGGAGTCAGATGCCACCAGTACTCAAGTTCTATCCCAAGCCCTTCGGGGTTCTTGGACTCTGCCTTTTGTTGAGTTATATCCTGGGGATTCCTGGATAGGGTCGTAGTGATGTCCTTCCTGGGTGCAGAGCTAAGAGGGAGTGTGGAGAGCTGCTGTGGGCAGTGTCAGTCCTGGAGTGTCAGCCTGGAGATGTGTGGCCTGTGCACAGCTGATGCCCAGCATTCTTCAGCTGTGCCTGGTCCGTGCACGGCCCCCATCCTGTTCACACGCCCCTCTCTGCCATAATAATCTCTCTCCCCTGGAGCACTGCCATCGTCCACCAGAGGCTGGCAGCCTCCTGTCCTCTGTACCCAGCCCCTTTGCTCACACCATTTTCCTGAGTCTGGTACCCCCCCGGTTGCCTTGATCCTCCCGTCTCAGGGAAGGTCCTTGGGCCCCGTCATGTTGGTGCAGAGTTGAGCGAGTTGGGCCGTGGGACCCATCCTCCCGAATGGCTTCCAGGCCCGTACTCTTCCAGCGTCTTTCATTGCTCCTGGGCCCCAGTCTCGTCCTCCTCAGGGCTCCTGAAACATTTTTCTGAACATTCTGCACCTTCCGTGGCCTCTGCTCTCTGTGAGTCCTGGTCCGGATCCAAGCTCACCCCCTGAGAGCATTAACCCTAATAGGGCTGGGACTGGGGTGAGAGAAGGAGGTGCCCAGGGTGCGAAATTTGAGGAGGCCCTCCATCCCTCTCAGGGTCGGCTCCTGAGAGGGAGACCCTCCTTGAACCTTGCGCACTGGGTGCCTTGACTTTTTGGCCTCACCTGGTCCCAGCCCTGGATGCTGAAGTTGGACAGGTCTGGCTCAGCATCCCAGCACCAGGTGCCAGTCCAGGTGACCTTGGGAAAGTTACCTTTTCTCTCTGAACCCCAGTTTCTCTGTTGCCTCCATCCCGGGTAACGAGGACTTCATTAGATAATCTGTGTAAGCTACTCAGCACGTTGCCTGACGTATGTTAAATGCTTGAGAGATGTTTGTGGTTGTTATTACTATTATTATTATTAGGCGAATACAAAAGCATCACACACCAGCCAGTCTCCATATGAGCTCTGGAATGACAGGTCCAGTCCCATGGTCATCCTCGCCCCCGTTTGCCCCTCTTGATGATGTGTGATGTTGACCATGTGGATTTGCCCTGCGAGGTCAGGGCCTCGCACATTCTGAAGAGGATGTGTTTTGTGTCTCTGCTGCAGGAATTGCTTACTTAGGAGGTGTGTGCAGTGCTAAGAGGAAATGTGTGCTTGCCGAAGACAATGGCCTCAATTTGGCCTTTACCATCGCTCATGAGCTGGGCCACAAGTAAGTATCAGACTCTGGATTGTTCTGCCTCTTTAAATGCTTTCCTGAATACATATTTTTTTCACTCAAATTCTGGAAGTTCTGAAACAGTGCTGCTGAATGCCTTTGCTTCCTCTAGAGTAAGGACCTAGGCCAGCAAGCCTGGGTCCCAACCCTTTAGGAACCCAAGAGATCACAGAACAGACTGTCTCTGAGAGTGGAAATGCTCATTTGATGTTTGCTTTAAGTCTGTTCTTAAAGCACACGCTGTAAAGGGAAGAGATTTTCTCAGTGTTGTCGTGAGTTGTATCCCCTTTCCCAGACCATCATGATCTTGATTCACTCTAAATATGCCGTTCAAATAATGGGATTTATCTTTGTGCTATTGAATTTCTGGATTGTTGGTTTTTTTCAGCCAGTTTCAAACAAAGTCCAACTTTCTGAAGGTAGAATGTCAGTGTCTTAGTTTAAAGAATCATCAGCTATTGCCTTTGCACATGGAAGTTCTTCCCTTGATGAGGAAAGAACCACAGAACCTTAGAGCCCAAAGATGATGTGGAGGGAATCCGAGGCAGCCTCCTGGTTTTTTTAGATGAGGAAAAAGAAGGTCCGAGGGGTTGAATGGCTGGCCCAAGGCTGAGATCACCTGCAGGAAGTCTCAGGGGGCAGAAAACCAGCTGACTCTCAAACTGTGGCCCGAGGGTTTACTCTTTCTCCTGGAGTAGGTGTCTGTTTTATGTTTCTCTGAAGGAAACATTGTGATATGACTGCTTAAGAACTTTAAATAAATAAATTGAGGAGGCCAAAGCATGCAAAACAATGGAAAAATTTATATTGGACCGAAGAGAACAAAATTGAATGGAAATCTAGTTATTGAGGAAAAATGTATATTGTAAAGTTTTCCCAGTGCCCGAGATAGTAAGATGCCTGGAACCCTAAAGGTGAACTCAAGCTTCTGCAAGAGTAGAGGCAATGAATAAGGAGTACAAAAGCAGTTGTTTTCCCCTAGTATTAGCCATACTGTGGCCTGATGTTTTTACCTTGCTTTATCTGGTCCCATTTAAATTTTTTTCACTCCTGTAGATGGGTTTGTTGTTGACTTTTCTGTACCTGTTGGCTATCATGATGTGAGTACAGAGAATGAAAATAATCTTATGTGTATTTCCTGGGACTAAGGGGAAAATAACATGTTATTGGCCAAGAGAAGCAAGATAAGTAGTTATCTCTACGTACACATTTATTTCATCTTGACAGTATTTCAGAAATATTGGTGACAACACTTTGCCCATACTAGTTTGCCTACACTACTAGAAAATAATTTTTTAAAATTATTTGTAATCAAATTTGTATTCATATCTCAGATTTGTTAAAAAAAAAAAAAAAAAAAACCAACTAGAAAACCCCACCCAATAGTGGTTGCTGAAAGAAAAGTACAAATGAGTATGGCTTTGGCAAACATCTTCTCACTATCAAATGCCCCACCCAGCCCATCGTAGTACAGCGGAATCAACTCCCTAACAGTCGTGAGAATGCAGAGTTGTCAAAACATTTCCCAACACGCAGGTTGTGCGGACCTTTGAAGAGATATATTTATGTGAACTGCTGCATCCCATGGCAGCAGTCACCTCCGCATGTGAGCACACAGGGGCTGCCTTTTCTCCTTGGGCATTAAGAACAAAGAGCGCCGTTCCTCCCTGATCTGTGTGGTTGTGCTGTATCAAACACTGGCATCTTAACACGGGAGGTCTGCAGATGAATGATTAGATTCAGTCATATTCCAGTAGCCTTTAGCTGCAGTCTCTTTAGAATTTCTTGGAGGACTCTTTATAGCTTGCTACTGAACTCTAATTACCTGCAAAAACAAACACCGTATTGTTAATCAAAGCCAATAAATCCTGGTAGCATTTGGTCCTGCCCCTAGTTGGGTCATTATGGTTTTCCCAGAGAAGTCTCTTGTCTCTGATTATTCGAAAGTGTTGGGAAGCAGATCCCCCAAGGATGAAGCCACAGTCTCCCTATCCACGGACCCCTCTGCTCACCCGGCTCAGAGCAGCCAGAGAGGCTGTGCGGAGGCTTGGGAAGGTAGAGGACAGCCTGCACTCTCATGAAAGCCACTGGCCAGGCTCCTTCACAGATGCGAACCTGTAAACTGTCTATAGTTTGGAATAGGGAGGAGTAATTTAACTCCACGTTTCTTAAGTGTATGTGAACTGAGATAGGATGGATGGTATTCTCTGTGGACCTGAGCCACTGGTCCATGCTCTCCAACAAAAGTTCTTGGTGAAAGTTTTAGAAAACAGTAAAGAACACCTCTCTGTGTAACCCTGGAAAATCCTCAGAGAGCTCACCCTCCAGTTCTTAACCATTTAATACTGAAAAGTAAAGATCTCTTTTGAAGGGTGGGTGTGTGTGCCTTTGCACGTGGGCATGCATGGGTGCAGCCCTTCTGCTCTGTACTCAATATACCTCCTGTGAAGAGCAGTGTGAGCACTTACCCTCGGATCCCAATGTTAGGAGAAGTCACTTTCCGTAGGAGCTACACATGCCGTTTATCAGATGATGAGAGTTGCGTAAGTTAACATGATTTCATTTTTGCTCTGGCTTTCAGAAAACACAAAGCTAAGTGTAAGGCTCATTTTTAACATTTAACTCATTGTAGTACTGGAATTTTTCTCCCTCTTTCTAGCATCTGTTTGTATGCATAGTTTTATTTCAAATATTGTAGTTCAAAAATAATTTCTTTGGTGCTATGAACTGGCTCCAATCCAATTTTCAGTAAAATAAGTTCTAAATTATAAATTAAATGAAAAACTCTTCCCATGGTAACATCAATAATGCTGCTTTGGACATAGGTTAACAATAAAGTAATGATGTTTAAGTCAAATCAGATCTCATTTACTGAGCACCTGCCATGTACCAGGTACTGTGTTAGATGCTGTGCATTCATTGTATTATTGAATCAGTCCTGTGAGGCAGGTATTATTAGCTTTTACTTTATAGATTAGGAAACTAGTATTACTTTAAAAAATTTTCTAGTCTCTACCTAAAATGATTTGGGATCACTTGTATGATAATGTACCCATGCAACAAGGCCATTAAAATAAGGATCCAAATTACAAAATATAGGTAATAAAGAAGAGAGCTTGTTACATATCCGAAAACCAAGGTACTTTCAGTTTGTCAGCAGCCTAGGCAGAGAGGGCAAAAAATGGCATGGTACAGCTGGCTGAAGAAAGCCAAATGTGTCCTCAACAGGGGTTTCCCTAGGAAACACAAGTACTGTGGGTGAGACTGGCATTTTCTGATGATCTACCCTGGTAAAGAAGTAGGGTAGAAAAGACTCCAGCCATGGCTTTAGACAGGAACTGAAGGATTTGCAATTCCCAATGGCAGTCGTGGAGGAGACCCTGGGAAGGGGCTGTTCTGTGTTCCTGCCTGGAGGATGAGCTGGGTCTGTGGGGCAGCCTTGCTGACAGCAGCTTTGGGGTTTTTAAATGAGCACCTATGACCTTAGTTACCTTCTTGCCCATGAAAGGCTGCCAGATAGGCAGCTGCCCCCCACCTTTTGGTTCACCTAGTGTGAGCTTTGGAAGGCACCTGTCTCCCTGTCTTGTGGTAGCTTGGGAAACCCAGCGGAAAATGAGGCTGTTTTTGTGCCTTTCTTCATCCCACAGTGACCATGAGAAAGTGATGGTCCTGAACATGAGAAGATGTCTTTGATGGACCTCTTTCACTTTAGGGGGCCGTAGTTGCCACTGTTGTTGGTTATGATGGAATCAGTGACATGGGGGAAACAGCCCAGCTGGGCCAACTCTGCCCAGGTTTTTTCCCTCAAGAAACCAGGATGCCTTGTGGTGGACCTCAGTGTCCAAGATGTTTATCACTACTTGATTTTAGAGAGAAAGGGGGAGAACTCGAAGCATTCATTTTTCTCAGGCAAACTCAACCCTGATTGCAGCGACGTTAGCATAGCATTAAAGTGACTGTGCCTAATACGTCTATTGGATTTTTAGAGGATATTGTTTTTAGAGGATATTGTTTGCTATGATTTGGAATTTTTATAGTATAAGAAAGAAAGTAAATGGTTCTATGAAAATTGGTTAGAGTGCCTTTTGCTTTGGGGAAAGTAGGTCTAATATAGCATGATAAGGCCCAGGGGAGACATTTGATTGACAAGAGCTCTCTCGTGCAGTTGGAGGCCAGGAGGGCACAGAACCAAGTCTCAACTGGTTGTTTGGTGCCTGGGGAAACCCAGCGTGCTTCTCAATCAGGTAAGACAGTGCCTGGGAGGTGTCTAAACACAGGGCTTGCAGGTGGGGTGGGGAGAGAGGGGAGGGACTCCACTTAATGCATACTCGGCCACCCACTCAGAAAAACAAAGAGCTTTCCCTTGCAGAAAATAAATCTCTGCTTCTGTCGGATTTAGGAGGCTCTGTTCGATAAGCCTGAGCCAGATCAACACCTGCCTTGAGAGTCAGTCCAAACCATGTGACCTCTCCAGCTCCAGACGGGCCCCAGAGCCACACCCCATGTTCAGGCCCTCACTACCTGTACGGGGGCTGCGCCTCTCCCCACCTGCTCTTCCTGGGGTTTTCCCTGACTTCCATATGCCCTTTCTTGGGTCTTTCCATTCTGGAATTTACCTCTCCTCTGGTCAGCTGGCTCTGTCTGTGGCCTCTGAAAAATGCTGTCTTCATGGATGCTTGGGAACCCAGCAGATGTGACATCTGGGCCCCGCCTCAGGAGAGGAGCCTCTGAGGCACTTGGAAGTACCTGTGGCCAAGCCTCAGCCTGATGAGTTAAACCACCCACTCTGGTGGAGGGAGTACCTCGGAAGCTCTCCAAGGAGATGCCAGGTGCAGCCAGGGTGGAGCTGCCACCAGCATGAGGTCTAGACCTTTTATTGTTGCTTTCGGCCTCATCCACCTTCCTGCTTCCATCTCTTGCTCCCAGACCCTGCCAGGCCACCCTCAGGGTTGAGCTGTGGTGCTAGATACGATCCTGCTCTCCTGGCTCCAGCT